TTTGCATTCTGCAGAGTCGGCAAGCAGGGTGGGGTGGGGGCTCTTGTTTTTGGAAGAATTGAAAACTGGTCCTGAAGGCCGGCGCCGCGGCTCACTAGGCTAATCTTCCGTCTGCGGCGCCGGCACACCAGGTTCTAGACCAGATTCTGTCCCGGTTGCCCCTCTTCCAGGCCAGCCCTCTGCTGTGGCCCGGGAGTGCAGTGGAGGATGGCCCAAGTGCTTGGGCCCTGCACCCCATGGGAGACCATGGGAGACCTTTCTCTCTGTCTCTCTCTCTCACTGTCCACTCTGCCTGTCAAAATAGATAAATAAATAAATAAATAAATAAATAAATAAATAAATAAAAGAAAAGAAAAGAAAACTGGTCCCGAAAGATGGAACCCACGGGCGGGCGCCATCCTTGCTGTGTAGCTGCACTCGGGGCCTGCCTGCTTGGAGGTCACCGTCCCATCAGTCGGCACACAGCCGGCATCACTGCTTTCCCTTCCACGGCTCCCCAGCGCCTGCTGTGGGGTGCGTGAGCCGGCTGAAGGTGCCCCGTCCACCCGCCCACTGAGCCACTGAACTGCGTGGGCGACAGAGGGACTCCACTCTGCACCCTGAGGCATCGCTGGGGCGGAAACAGCCCCAGTGGCGTTTAGTGCAGTAGGCTGTACGTGTTAACCAACCCAAGCACCCACAGTTGCCATCGAGTTAGCCTGGGGGGCAGGGTGAGCGCTAGGTTCACGGGCGCCCAGCTCCGTGTTCCAGGGTGGTGTACGTTGAATGAGCCGCAGCTGCTGGCTACAACCTCACAGACACCTTGAGTCGGGCAGGGCAGGAGGTGGTCACAGCGGTGCAAGTGACTCCAGACGCCGGGCTCAGGAAGTTCAGGGCAGGAAGCCCCTCCTTGCCAAGCCGGTAAGTGTGCAGCTGTCGGCTCCGGCAGCAGCCGTCGACGGGGAGCACTAAGCAGAGGGCTCACCACACGCAGGGTTTGTCTGAACCCAGTCACAACCCTTTAATTTACACCGGCTCCAGGAGCACACCTGTTTCAGATGTGAGGGAAAGGACTAGGCGCCGTGGGCAGCAGCTGGGAGGTGGCCGGCAGCAAGCCCCTCCCTGTCTGGCTCCAAGTCGGATGAGGAAATAGATCGGGAGCGGGAGAACTGAAGGGCAGGGTTAAAAGAAAGGACCAAAGGCGGAAACTCAAAGGGAGACGCGTCTTCCCTGTGCCGGGAAACTCTTGATCTGTCAAAGCAGACCAGCGCGGACCAGGAGGAGGTCGGGCTGGCCGAGAGCAGCCCTGGCGGGAGGGCGGCTCTGTGGGCATCGCAGGATGACGGGAAGATGGGTGATGCTGAGACCAGTGTTTTCTGGGGGCTGTGGGGGGCTGGGACAGCCAAGGGGTACAGCATTTCCTTAGGGGTGGCGGAAATTTTTTTAAAGATTTATTTTTATTTATTTGAAAAACAGAGTGACAGAGAGAGGAAGAGACAGAGAGAGAGGTCTTCCATCCGCTGGTTCACCCCCCAGGTGACCGTAAGGGCCGGAGCTGTGCCTATCCAAAGCCAGGAGTCAGGAGCCTCTTCCGGGTCTCCCACATGGGTACAGGGGCCCAAGGACTTGGGCCATCTTGTACTGCTTTCCCAGGCCATAGCAGAGAGCTGGATCGGAAGAGGAGCAGCCAGGACTAGAACCAGTGCCCATATGGGATGCCAGCACTTCAAGCCAGGGCATTAACCCACTGCGCCACAGTGCCAGCTCTGGAAATTTTTTAAAAAGATTTACTTATGTATTTGAAAGTCAGAGTTATACACAGAGAGAAGGAGAGACAGAGAGAAGGAGAGACAGAGAGAGAGAGGTCTTCTATCCACTGATTCACTCCCCAAATGGCTGCAATGGCCAGAGCTGAGCTGATCCGAAGCCAGGAGCCAGGAGCTTCCTCCGTGTCTCCAACACGGGTGCAGGAGCCCAAGGACTTGGGCTGTCTCCACTGGTTTCCCAGGCCATAGCAGAGAGCTGGATCAGAAGTGGAGCAGCCAGAACTCAAACCAATGCCCACATGGGATGCCGGTGGGTGGCAGGGACCCTGCTGCCTCCAGGTGTGCCTTAGCAGGAAGTTGGAACAGAGCTGGGACTGAATCGTGCCACTTACCCACCCCTCGCAGTGTCCGATGACAGTGGAAAACTGGAGGAAAAAATCATTGTCAAGTGATAGAGTTCAGGTAAAGTGTGGTATTTTCCACAGGAGGAACTCTGTTTAAAACGGGAGGCCCGCGCCACGGCTCACTTGGCTGATCCTCTACCTGCGGCGCCGGCACCCCAGGTTCTAGTCCCGGTTGGGGCGCAGGTTCTGTCCCAGTTGTCCCTCTTCCAGGCCAGCTCTCTGCTGTGGCCCGGGAAGGCAGTGGAGGATGGCCCAGGTGCTTGGGTCCTGCACCCCATGGGAGGCCAGGAGGAAGCACCTGGCTCCTGGCTTCGGATTGGCGTAGTGGCCATTTTGGGGGTGAACCAACGGAAAAAGTAAGACCTTTCTCTCTGTCTCTCTCTCTCTCACTGTCTAACTCTGCCTGTCCAAAAAAAAAAAAAATGATATCAGAGACTTGAAAACGCTATTTTCTGGGTGGCAGAAGTCTAGTATATTACTTGTACTAAGATGCTGTTTTTATAAACAAATATATATATAAAACTCAAGTGTTTTGCTAATGCTGACAAAGTTTAGATGATGGAAATGGAGTTCAAGTGGTTATGTTCTTGTTTGTGTTTTTCACACAAAAGTTTACAAGTATTACAGGAATTCTGAAATCTCTGCTCCTTCTGACAGAAGCCGCTCAAACGAACAGGTGCACAGCCCAGGCCTGCGACGACGTCATTCAGAACAGGCAGTAAAGGCTGCTCCTGTCAGGATTCCGCGCGTTCCAGCCCCGCCCCCAGGCTGTCGGCCCCACGCTGTGATCCTGGCAGGGCTGGGACCCAGGACGGTGGCTGCCAGGAGGTCCCACATCCCTGGCACCCGCATCCTTGTTTCAACAACCATCAGACAGAAGTCCAGGGAAAAGAGCAGTAAATGTAGTAAAAGGAGCGGGACACGCGTGGCTGGAGAATGAAGGGGCTGGAGCAATGAGGAGGAAGTGGAGATGGACTCCAAGAGGCTCAGCCCTGGCTGCGGCTCACCGAGAGCCCGGCCGAGCCGCGTGGCCAGAGAGGGAGACCTGGCTGGGACCGCCCGCAGCGGCGCGGCCCCGTCCTTGTCTGCAGACGAGCGCCTTGTGTGGGAAGCTGCACTGCCTGGAACGAGGGAGATTATTACACATTTTGGAAGTGCCTGCAACCATGATAATAATCGGTTTGTTTACTCTGGGCCACCTGTGTCCTAGCATCAACTCATTCAGTGATGAGAACACGCGGAGGAGGGGGTGCCGCCATTCTCCCTGCCTGCAGTTGGGCCGCAGATCCGGGCTCTGCACAGCCAGGCCAGCAAGTCCTGCTGCACCGACCCAAGAAGGCGGTGTCAGCCCCGCCCTGGGACCCCACCAGACCACCCGGCGACCTGCAGATGCGTAATCTGGGCAGACCGGCCACTTCTGATGCCCGGCTGATGCCGTGTCCATTTTGTTAAGTTAACTCCTCCCCCAACATCGGAGCAGACCGCAGGGGTGGGAGGCAGACCTGCTGGACAGCAGGGGCGGAACCCCAGCACCTGATCATACGCAGAGCAGTGGCTGCATGGGTGACCCCAGCGATGCCGTTGGCTCACGAGGAGACCCGAGCAAGCAGGGTCGAGATTCTCCGTTGCTCTAATGCCCGAGGTCCAGCACTCGACGAAGTTTGTTGAGCTCACACTTCGGGAGGTTCAGGCCTGGTGCCAGCGTGGGCTCGGCTCCAGCGAGGACTGTGTTGATGGCTGCACGGTGGCCCCACCACCTCTCAACATGGCCACTCTGCGGACCTCTTGGAGGGTCACTCAAACCAGAGCACTCAGGAAAACGCTGGGGAAAGCTGACATGAGAGAACGTGGTGGAGGCACCTAGAACATGCTACACGTGGATTCCACGGCACCAGCCTGGAGACTGTGGATCAGGGAGAAAAACCCAGTGCACAGACTGCTGAGGCCTAGAGAGTGCCGTGACGGGCGTGCAGGGTCATCTGGGCAGGGCATTGTGGGAGACAGGCCGGTAGCCCTGCAGCGGGAAGGGAGGTGACAGCAACCCAGGGACCGGGCGCGATGAGGGACTAAAGGGGGCAGCCAGGGTGGACCTGGGGTGAACATTCCCTCCCTGTGTGGGACTGGGATGAGGGAATTGCCCAAGAAACCCCCAGACACCCCCCCCCCCCCCCCGTCTAGGTGTGTGGCCGGCCTGGGCCCAGAGCCCCCTGCAAGCTTCCCATGAGTTCTGTGTTTATTTTCCGAGAAGCGGTTTCCATGAGAGCTTCTGCGTGTAAAGGATTCCAGCCCACTTCTACCTCCCGCAGCCTGAGCCCCCGCAACAGTGATCCCTGCGGGAGGCGGGCCGCGGCCTCGGGGCGCCCACCTCCACGAGAAGTCCACGGAGAAAACCTCCTCCCAGGGCCTGGCGCGGCGCCGAAGCCTAGAGAACCGTGCGTGTCGTGCCTGCAGCCCTGACCCAGGCCGGCGCCCCTGGGACGCGCCTGGTCCTCCGACTGCACACGCACAGCCCCGTCCACGCGGGCGTCCCCGGCCGCCTCCCGCGGCTTTGGTGAACCCCAAAGGCCCGCGGTCTGCTCCTTTGCCACACAGCCTGCGGGCGGCGGGCGTGGACGGGAGGCGGCGGTGGCTCTGCAATGGCCAGAGTGCGAGCGTGTGTGTGACACTGACCACTTGTGCGCGCGCCGTGCCCAGGGTCCGCCAGGCCATCTGCCAAAGACCGGCGCTGGCTCCCGGCTCCCGCCGCCTGGGGCTCCTCGGGACCCGCCACTGGGCGCGAGGGGGCGCCGCGCCGCCGCGGGCCTGGACGCACCGGGCCGGGCCGGGGGCGGTGCGCGGGGCGGCGCCGGACTCGGGGCTGCGGCTCCAGAGACGCCGCGCTCCGTCCTGAGGAGGCCGCCGCGGGGCCCCGACTCCGAGGTAAAGTTGGGCGCACCGCGAGGCCGAGGGTCTCCACCGGGGGTCCCAAGGCAGGACCAAGGCCGGGGGAAGTGTCCGCCCGGCGCCCCGGCAGGAGCCGGGCGGGGGGATCGGGGGTCTGCACAGGAGGGACCAGGACGTAGCCCGGCAGGGGCGCACACGCCTGTCCGGGGTCGGCGAGCTCTCATGGAGGTCCTGCCCCCCGTCCGTCCGCGGGGACCCGGGTGAGCAGGAGGCGGCGAGCGGCGTCCCCAGCCCGCAGAGGACCAGGGCTGCCCGGGGCTCCCCAGCGCCTGTCCCGGCTCGGAGGGTGGGCGCGCGCCAGGAGGGGCGGGTTGTGGGCGAGTCCCGGGCGCACAGGGTCCTCCCCTGTGCCCTGATGCGCTGCGGGGCGGGGTGCGGTGACCGCCCGCCGCCTACCTGCGCTCACGGGCGCGCGCACGGCCGCCTTCCCGCCGGCCTCGGGGCGGACCTGGATTTGGGGAGGGGGCCGGGCTTCGGCGTGGACCCGAGTGTTCGCTGCGCCCTCGTCCGCCCGGCCCTAGGTCGGGGCGGGGACGCTGGTCCCGGGGTGCGAGGAGGACCGGAAGCTGGGGAGGTCCCGGCGCTGGCGGACGGCGCGGGGTCCGCAGGGGAAGTGGGGTTCCCTCTGCGCCCCTAACGGTGTCCCAGGCCGTCAAGTCCCAAAGGAGCCCGGGGCGTCCTTGAGCGCGCGCGCCTTTGGGCTCCCGCGGTTTTGGGGTGACCCGCAGGCCCGCCCCCATGGTCCGGTCTTCGGAGCCCGGCGCAGAACTCGTTCTGTCCACCTAGCCCTTGTATCTAGGAAGCCGCCCCCGCCGCCGCCCGCCTGGAGTGCGTGTGCCCGGCCGGGGGGTCAAGAATGGATTTTGACCCAGCCGGGAACTCGCGGGGACCCGCAGTGAGCCCCGCGGCCGTCCGGGGCTCCCCCGACCCCTCTCCCCAAGTCGCCCGGGTGCGCACCGGCTTCGACGACCAGGGGCTCCCTCCCGCGGGGAGGACACAGCTCGGCGCCTCCCAAGGGCAGGGCGGGCGCGTGTTGCACTCCCCGCAGGACCTTTGTTGAATTTAAGAAACAAATCGGGTGTTTCTGCGAGCTTGGGAAGGAAGGGAGCAAAGCGAGGTTCTGCCTGGGTGAGGGTGAGGGCGGCAGCTGTCGCTCTGCGGGGCCGGCAGAGCCCTGCGGTCGGTGCCCCGTCGGGGTCGGAGCCGAGCCTCCCACCCGCGGCGGGCCGGGGGAGGCCTTGTGGTGGGCAGCACGCGCACCGTCAGCTGGCGCGCTCGGATCTACCGCCCAGGCAAAACCAGGGCGCTGATGCGGGGCGGGGCGGGGGCGTCAGGAGCCGAGGCGGTGCGAGGTTCTCCCGCACGGTGGTCCTGGGCCGGCCTTCCCAAAGCGGCTCCCCGCAGGCGCCGGCAGGGCAGCGCGCGCAGGGCCGTTTGGAGGGGAGCGGGAGGCTCTGTGGCTTGTGCAGCTTGCGCGGATGTGCGGGGGTGGGAGACGGGGAGCAGATGGGGCGCCGTGGGTGGGTGCTGGGGGCAGGGCAGCCCTTACAGTGAGGGCGGGGTGGGGAGGCTGCGGGGGTCTGCATACCTGTGGGGTAACACAGACTCAGGCCTAAGGCTCTGTCCAGGGAGGTCCTTCAGCCATGAGGCCAGGCCAGGGCTGCAGGGAGGAGGGTGCTGGCTCAGCTGTGCTCCACAGAGACGTCTGTCCCTCACCTCTGACCTCATGGTGAGAGTCCCAACCCACCCTGACGAGAGCGGGGCCTGCCCCCACAGCTGGTGATCTGCACCCTGGAGCTTCTGAGGCCCTGGGGATCCTTTCTGAAGTCAAGGAAACATGACCTTGTCTATTGGAAGATTTTAGAGGTCCACCTTCTTGGAGGCAAGCTGGCCCCTGGCTCCTTTGCCGGGGGCCGGCGCCCCAGCTGGCATCGCGCCCGTGGGTGGGCAGTGCACACCTGGTTGTCAGAGCCCTGTTGCTGAGACCCCAGGACAGACACGCGGACACTGGCCACAGCCCCTGCAGCTGGGGGCATGCATCGTACCTGGGTGCAGGCGCTGCGTCTCCAAACTCGGGTCATAAAAACGAGGGCTCAGGGCGCTGGCATTTGGCCCAGAAGTGAAGATACCCGTGCCCCACACCGTAGTTCCTCGGTTCAATTCCCATCTCCAGCTCCCGAGTCCGGCTTCCTGCTAATGTGACCCTAGGAAGGGCCGCTGGCTCAGGTCGTTGGATTCCTGCCACCCTCGTGGGAGGCCTAGGTCAGGTCCCTGCCTCCCGCTTCAGCCTGGCCCAGGCCAGTCTTGGTCTTTGAGGGCATTTGGGGAGTGAACCTGGAGATGAGGCTGTCTTTCTGTCGCTCAGGTAAATAAATACCTTTTTAAAAGTGAAATCAGTAATAGATTCACTAAAAAAAAGCCCACTCAATATTCTAATTTGTGGGTTTAGAAAAGGCTAATCGAAATGCAGAAATAGTGCCGATCTTTACCGCGTTGCCGTGCTCCGTTCAGGAAGCCGGGACGTGCGGCAGAACTTCCAGCCGCTCTGTGCACCTGTGAGGCTCCCGGGCCCGGCTCTGCGGCTTCCGGAGCAGCGGGGAGCTCCACCCCCCATCACTGTGGCCTCTCTCGCTCGCTCTCTCTCTCTCTTTTTTTTTTTTTTTTGACAGGCAGAATTAGACAGTGAGAGAGAGAGAGACAGAGAGAAAGGTCTTTCTTCCGTTGGTTCACCCCCCCAAATGGCTGCTACGGCCGGCGCGCTGCGCTGATCTGAAGCCAGGAGCCAGGTGCTTCCTCCTGGTCTCCCATGGGGTGCAGGGCCCGAGGACCTGGGCCATCCTCCACTGCACTCCCTGGCCACAGCAGAGAGCTGGCCTGGAAGAGGGGCAACCAGGACAGAATCTGGTGCCCCGACCGGGACTAGAACCTGGGGTGCCGGCGCCGCAGGCGGAGGACTAGCCAAGTGAGCCGCGGCGCCGGCCACTGTGGCATCTCTTAAGCTAGCTCCTCCCTGGCCCCCCAGGACAGCCCACCCACACTTCCCAGCCAGGCCCCTGCTCAGCACGGGAGTGGGGGACCTCAGGCTGCAGGCAGAGCCCCGGTGGCACGTCCTCCTGGGGACTTCTAAGCTCTCAGGTACTCAGAGTGGAGCTTGAACATGGGTTACACTTGGGTGGTGTTGGGCACAGGAAACCAAAGGCCTCGTCCCTCGCAGCGATGTGACCGTGGTGGCAGTGTGGCGGCAGGTACCTGGCCTCAGAGGATCCGTGCTGGTGGGCAAGGCCATGGCCAGACCCCCGCTCCAGGCACAGGGGCTGCAGGGGCTCCAGTCCACCTGGGGGTTATCAAGTGGTCCCTTGCCCTTGCCACCCTCACCACGGGCCCGTTAGCTGTGGCTCCCTTGGGCCGAGGTAGGGCCTGGGAGTGTGGCCGTGGACACCCGCCCTGGTGATCCTCCTGGTCGGGAAGCTCTGGGCGGCTGACACGGTGGCGGCTGGCGTCTCAGTGGTGAGCGTCACAGCTGGGCGTCTCCGGTGTTCTGCCTCCACGCATGGAGGCCCAGCTCCCTGTCTCAGAACTCTGCTCGGAAGTGTTCAGAAGCACTCGGCTGGGGCACCAGGTGGACGTGGCTCACGTGGAGGGACCCGGGGAGGGGACACAGGCAGGGGCAGCGAGCGAAGCCACTGTGGCTGGAGCACTGGGCCCTGTGCTGGGCAGGCGCCCGGCTGCTCCCCCAGCCCCAGGACTCCTCTCACCCTCCTTTCCCAGCTCAAGGGTGCGGCCCCGGGCAGCCCCCCTGCTGGAGCAGGTCCCTAAGGGGGGGTCTTTGCGGGCAGGTCAGTGGGAGGAAGATCCTTACCAAGCTGGGCCGCCCGCTGTGAGCCGCCCTCCGGCGGGGATGGCGCCGGCCGGCCGCCTCGGGCTTCACGGCGTCAGTCACGCTGGAGAGGAGAACGTGACAGCTCCTGGCGGAACAAATCTTCCCAATTTAGTTTTCTTTTGTTTCCTGTTGGGAGAACGACCTTGTGGTGAGGGAGATGGGAAACGTGTGCCAGTGGCTCCTTTGTCGCTTGCCAGACTGGAAACGGATCCCCCGCGGGGGGCGGGCGGGAGCAGCTGCAGGCGGGCAGGCGGCGGGCACGCAGCACCTGGACTCCGAGAGCCGCGCTTCTCAGAGGCCTGAGGGCCGGCAGCCTCCTGTGGCTTCAGCGAGGCCGCAGGGGCGGCGCCCCCCGTGGGTCGGTGTGGGGAGCCCCGGCCAGCAGGAGGCCGGGTCCCTGCTGCCTGGGACCCCAGCCTTTGTGTCCTTTCTCAGGGTGGGGGTCTCCCCTTCCGCCGGGTGCCTGCCATGCTCCTGTGGGCGGGGTCCCCATGCTGCTACCCTCTCCGCAGTGCCCCCCCCAGCCCTGCTCCTCTGTCCCCCCCCCGCCCGGTGCCCCGGGCAGCTTCACTCTGTGTCTTCTCGCCCTCCATGAGAACAGGCCTCCCTGAGGGTTCATCCTCGCCACGCCAGAGGGTGCTGCCCAGGGCCCCTCCAACGAGGCTGCGGCCATGCAGGGACCACCACGTGGGCCCTTCCAGGACTCAGCGGGCACACGGTTGGTCTGTGAAGTGAGGGACCTGTAGCGCCAACAGCCCCAGAGCCAGTCACCTGCCCAGCCTGCAGGTCGGCCACACGGGGCTGGTGTCTTCCCTGGATCCGAGTGTCGTCTCCCGTCACAGCAGGGCCAGTGAGGAGCCAGCGTGGACATGGGAGCGTCCGTCGTGTGTCCGGGAACCGCAAGCACAGTCCCCAGCGCCCCTCGCTGCTTGCTGTCACAGGAGACTCGGAAATGCAAAGCGGAGAGAAGTGGGGCTTGAGGCTGCCTTGCTCCAGGCCCCCACCGGCCAGAGGTGCCGGCTGCTGGCGCCCGGTGCTGTTCTGCCTGCACACGGCCGAGGGCTGCTGGCGCCCGGTGCTGCTCTGCCTGCACACG